TGCTTTTGCACGACAACGCTCGACCACACGTTGCCAAAGCCGTCAAAGAAACACTGATGCAGCTCGAGTGGGAAGTTCTCCTGCACTCAGCGTATTCACCAGACTTAGCTCCTTTTGACTATTACTTGTTCCGGTCAATGCAACACGGCTTGGTGGATACACACTTCAGAAATTGCGACGATGTGCGAAAATGGATCGACGAATGGATTGCATCAAAAGACCAATCGTTCTATCGTCGTGGAATCTACGCGTTGCACGAAAGATGGGAAAAATGTATAGCTAGCGAGGGAAAATACTTCGATTAATGTATTTTTTGCTTTTGATGTCGAAATTAATGAGTTTTTTAAACAAAAAACCGCAGGAACTAAGTTTACCATCTAATATGTCCACTGGAAAAGAAATTGCTACCGGTTATTTAGACCAATTGAATTGTTAACTAATATATAACTACCAGGATATTTTGAGTAGATATTGGAAGTAAAATTATGTAAGTGGAAGGACGAAGTCGGTAATGTTTATGGTCAATATTTATAATCGGATTTTATATGTAAAACCGATTTTTTTAAGTCCATGTTCAGGTTCTGTACAGCTCATTTTATTCAGTACGAAACAACTAAAGATAAACATAAAATAGTCTTAAATATAAAACCTGATTATAAATACTAGCCTATGTGTGTTTTGCTGGAATGTATTTACAATTCGGAATATCTGCGGAATATAGATTTTTCTATTCGAAATGAAGATAATAATTGAAATCATATAGTACATTTGTCTAATATATACAATTGAAAACATTCTTCATCAAATAACTTATCATATCACGGTAATTGATATTTATTTGTACATAATATATTACTAACATAGGTAGTAATATTTGTTTAAATATTCGTAAATAATTTATATATTTGAAAAATTTTTTCATATTTTAATATTTTGCAGTTTGCCCTGTAGTATGATTACCTCTTTACAGACGTTTCGGTCTGTAGATTAAATAATAATATTATATAAATTTTGATATTATGGGTCAGTTATATTATAATATTATATTATATTTAATAATATTATATAAATTTTGATATTATGGGTCAGTTATATTATAATGATATTGTAATGTAAGATCTTAACACGAAATTATTAAGATGAATATGCACTAAAAAAAATTAGTAATTTTTAAAATATTTTTATATTGTTATTTATCGATATATGTATTATATTTATTTACAGTCAATGAAATAGCTAAATATAAATCATAAACCAGTTTTCTTGATTCAAATAGCGCGAGCGCTTCATACGGTGCGTGCACTGCAAATTATTAATGGCCTGATTATTTGTTTCTTTCCACTTTCTTTCTTTACTTAAACATATAATATTTTTAATATTTTATTTACATTTTTTTTACATTTTTATAATTATTAATATTTTATTTACATTTTTTATTTCATTGCCACAAATATATATTTGCAATTCAATTTAACATTTTATTATTTACTGTCTTATTATTAAAAGTCTTGTTATTAAAAGAACTGACTAAACTCTAAGCTTAAAATGTCGCAATTAACCCCTTAGCTTATAACGTGGTGACAGAGACGTTATGTTGACTGGGCCAAACATCAACAAGTTGTATCAGAGACGTGGTGTGTTGATCGCGCCGAACATGAATAAGTCGTGTCAGAGACGTGGTAAGTCGACCGCGCCACGTTTCAGGGACATTGTAGAGCTGATCGGGCTACACGCGACATTACATGTACCAACATGTTTTGAAAGATATTATACGATCGAAGATTATTAAATTTTTGTAAATTTTATTAAGACAATGATATTCTTCAATATCTGCTTATTTAGAAATTAAAATAAAAATGTTATTAATTTATAATTCACGTCAAAACAATAAATCTTTCTTGTTAAATTATCAATTGATCGTAATTATTTATCAGACATCTTGCAAAGTAAAGTTAATTGTACCTTACACATGTATTTACAAATCATAGGACGTCTACAATTTGCACAACATCGAACGCTCAGCCAAATCGTGAATGACTCCAAGTGTGACCGACCTTGCTGTCACTTATGGCCCGCGCCATCGCAACTTAACCCTTTTAGTGCCGGGAGCCGATATATCGGCTCCTGCTACACCGGCGAGAAGTGCCAGAGCCGATATATCGGCCCGCACCTTGTAGCGCTTTACTATTCGCATTGCGAGAGATCTCTATCAAAATAAATTTAAAATACGTTATAAATAGTCTAATTTCATTACGAGAGAATTAAAATAAATAATTTTTAAATATTGCTTTTCGTTTGGTTTTTATGAGCCTTTTACCAAATCCTAGTAAAATCGGCCGGTTATCTTCGCATAAGCACCTCTTTTTCGCCCGGCACTAAAAGGGTTAAATTGTAAGGCAAAGGGTTAATCTTGAATGACAAGTAAAACAGATACATAATCTGCTAATGTTTTTAACTGCAACATTTGTTTAAGAGTGATTAAATAGAAATGAAATATTTTCACGAAATATTTAATTATTAAATATATTTGTTATCAATACTATGGATTTTGGATATTGTAATTGCTGAAATTTGCTATATTTATTAAGTTATATTGCATAATAGATTCCGAAATAATTAAACTGATTAAGAAAAAAATTTCCAGTAATATGAAAAACTTAATATCGCACATAACTTATATTGCTTATATTTTATAATGTTGCCATCGTTATAGGAAATGTTTTTCCAGTTGTAATGTGGAGTGACTTATTGTATTGGAGCAAAGCATAATTAGCAATAAATTCTTTGTTGTGTAACGGAGTATCGGTCGGTCACTCGGTAATTAGTACGGTTGACCGTTCTGCATTACTTTGCTTCGTTACTTTTTCTCTTGCCCCTGCTGGGTGTCAAGAGGAAATTTGGCCGCGAACTTTCCTGTTCGCTACTTCGCTGGTTGTCCCGGGATTGCTCGCCAGATTGCCAGGTATTCGTTTGCGAGTGAGTGAGTGAGTAAATAAACGAGGGAGCGAATCTGTTGTTCGGATTCTATTTATTCGGTGGACGCGTGGTCCGAATGTTCCGTGTACAATGGTGAGCCGTCAGTTGGCCCACTGTACTGGCGGGCTAATATTTACTCGTAAATAGTATTGGAGCCTTTTAGCGATATAATGGATATAATGTTTCTAGTAAACACGGGCCGTCCCGTGTCTCGCGCTTACATTGTTCGGTCTAGCTGGAATATCGGTGCGTTATTTCTCGGAATAACGGGTGCCGTGTGTTCGCAGTAAGAAACACACGGCTTTCGGTACGCTAGGCGATGTTTCGGCTGGGAGCGCGGTCGTGGGGAGCGAGCGCGGTGTTGTGTCTGCGAGCTGACGCGTCAGTCGGCTGTTGACATGTGAGATTTGGATCTTTAATCTTCTCGGTTGATGCAACAGTTTCCAAACGTAAATTGCGGAAGTACTACATGGGCTGAAAAATCCTGGGATTTTTAATGAAAACAAGCGTTTTTTGGGCAAAATTATATTTATTCCTCAACATAGTTGCCTTCGAGTGCAATACACTTTGTATAGCGATTTTCCAACATTTCGATGCCCTTTCTGTAGTACGAAATGTCCAAGCCTTCGAAATACGCCTCG